CACTGTTTGGTGCCAATCTTATTTTCTTCTTGTACCGTGTTCCGCACCGTTGAATCTATCACTCTTGATATTTTCCCCATGATTCGGTAATCCATTTTATCTAATTCTTTTTCACTACCGTTTCAGTATTTGCATGGCAAAGAGTAGTCTCGAAACTGTCTGACATTTCTACCGTATTCCTAGGTCACTCAATGAAACGGGTTTTTCAGAGTTTAATTTATCGATAACTCTGCTGTTCTGTATGTGCAATCAATCGATTTTATCTATTCTGTGCAAAGCTGCATGTGTTCTTTTTTGTCAGATTTGTTTGCGCATCAGCGTTAGCCCTGCCTGTTTGTCTGCATTTCAGTTCACCTCAATGGTAGTATCCACTAGATCACCTTTGTGTGTGTGTGTGTGTGTGTGTGTGTGTGTGTGTGTGTGTGTGTGTGTGGAAAGCCAGCACGAGAGAGGAGAAAGCGTAGGTTGAATTTGTGCGAAACCCGAGTCGGTCGTTGCTTCCGCCCGTACCAATTTTCTCATCCATGTCAGAAATTCGTATGTAGAATCGTTTGCATCAGTTCCCACTGTCTATATTGCGCCTGCTTCCAAGTCTCCTCTCATGTGTGCTTACTTCATTTATATTAGGAAGTGAATGCAGATTTCTTGGGTGCTGTATGTTCTTCTCCATTTCTTATTTTGGGCGTAGATTAGGAAAGTCAAGGCAACATCAGACACTCCACCCCTGACTGCTTCTTTCTTTTTATTTTGCAAACCGAAGAATTGTTTCACGTTTTGAGTTCCAGGCTCTGCTCATGTTTCACAACATTAATATCCACTCAGTCAACTTGTGACCCCTTGTAATTGAACGTACATGGTTGTGAGTCCCGCAGGTTACCACTAGGTTAACGGTTTGGTTCCAGTGGTTAGTCCTATATCAATACTAAATTATGTAGTACCTATCCACCACTAGTGAGGCGTTCACAGCAAGAGGAAATCTTGAGGTATCAGTGATTCATCGTTTTTTGTTTATGTTTTTGAGGAGTCTCAGTTAGAATTATTTCCATTATTCAATCCCTATTTCATTAGACACTGGAAAGTCCGCACCTGGTGCTCCTTCGGTCGGATTGCATTGGGACTCTAACAACATGCTTGCCGGCCATTTGTGTCGGATTGATCCGACTTACGCCGCTCTGTTCTCAGATTGGTGCACGGACCGTTCAAATATACGCACCTGTTCCATTCCGATTGATCAACCTATCCGATTATCTCGGCAAAACGATCCTAGCGGTACTTGCACATCCGCCCCTCATATTGATTCTTCCACTGGTCCGATATCAAGCCCGCACGGAGGAAGTTCCGCACCGCGAGCTTTGGATCTGCTCGAACGTGTACTCATCTATCTGAACAATAGTCGGAATGTCCTACCCATGCCCATCGGCGCCTGTCTCTTAGGTACCGCATCTAGCAGCAGTACTGGACCGGGAAAGACCCATAAAATGTCGACGCAGGTCATAATGGAATCTTTGAACAGTTCAGTTAATACAACTCCGTCAGCAACAGAAATGGCTTCCACTACCCCATCTGGTGTGTTTAATCGTAACGTCTTTTTCAAGTGTTCATTCTATCATGTTTAATTAAGGTAGTCCTTTTTATCTTTAAACTCTTCACTATGCAGTTCAACGTATTCATTAGGTTCATATTTTATCTAGACAAACAACAGCTAGAGCCACGTTGAATAAACAGTCATTCGGTACTGTCTGCTGCTACAAATATCGTCAAGACCAGCCGAATTCTTTCTTTTATTGGGCTCCTAGTGGGACGCTTAGAAAAAAAGCTACAAAATCGTGGATAGAGTAATATGAAAATTTATCATCACCTACGTAACCACCGATTCATACCGTTGAAATTATTGGTGTCTATGGCGCTAAAGACAATAAAACTAATAGTGGATTCAGTAACACTCTATTTCGTCCAAAAGAAATTAATTAATTGTCCGCTTCTTCTTTTACTTGGTGCGCAGCCATTATCATTCTGTTTATGTTATTTCCATATCGAATTCCGCGAATAATTCTACCGCAAACCTTCGAAATAGTTCTTCGGTTTGATTCGCCGGTTTATTTTCGCCTTCAGCTACATCTTTGCTGTTGTCACTCGGTGCCTCCGTTCCACTGAAAATTCACTGCTCTCCGCTTTTTTGGATGCTAGCTCCTTCTCCCGCCATCATGTAGACTTCGGTTCCCTTTAAACTGAATGGTGATGCAATCCTCCCCATGAAAACTTCATTCTGGGGGCAAATTTATAACCTCCACCTAATAACCAAAGTTCAAAGATACCTGTTTCATGGACCAGCCATACAGGACTGGAGTGAGTCTATCAGATGAACCCAACAGCCTTTCCACCTACGAGATTACACGGTAGCAGTACATTTGCGGTAGCCACAAGTGCTGTTTTACGTGCTCATTGTCCCTGCACCCTTAGTTTTGATGAATTCCTTCTTTCACCTTCACGCTGTTTTCACTATTCCAATCTACCTCTTCATCCCAATAGGTGGCCGAAAAACGGCACCCACAACCGCCACGCAGATGTGCATGGTCAATGGTTGCTCAAACTGAACTGTATTTATTCATTCGACCCGATGTTGATGGTCGTTAAAAGTGGAATCTTCACTCTGGATGGTTTCAGTAGTAGAATGATTCGGGACTGGGTAGCGTGGTCCCCCGGGACAGGGGGAAAGGGTTGCCGTCAATAGGCTCACTAAGTTTCTTTATCGTGTATCAGTGTTATTCAGTAGAATTAACAATCTAGGGATCTGGTTCACATTGCACATGTATATTTTTATGTTTGATGCACCGTAGTTTCGATAGGTACTCACCGTTGTTGAAATCTACGAACTTTAAAAGCTTCATGCTGTGAATTCATGCCTTTTTGTTACACTGGTCATCGTGATAAACAATCCGGAGGGTGGGCTCAACAACCATGAGGGTCTGATAATTAGTTATGACGGCCAGTAATTCAAGCCTTAGGATCCCGATCCAGCGAGATAGATACGGTAATGAACCGGACGACAGTGAAGCTGCTTAGCTCCAAAATATGGATGGCGATTACACAGTTTGAACTTATGATTCGAAGCATGCAAGTGGTAATAACCACAGGCGTTTGACCGTTGTCTCTCTTACCATGAACTCACACTGCTCAGCTCTGAACATTGTTTCGCTAAGTGACTGCTCTTGCCGAAACATGGTGTCTGTTTAACGATCGCTTCACGTTCTTTCTGCACACCCCGTTTGCTTTGTGCTTTTGGGAACACTACTGTGTCTAAGTTGACAAATAGCCGACCAACTAGATAGAGTTCATCGGGTACATTCGTGTGTCTAGTGTATCAAATGTTCTTTTTGGGGGAATCTTGTTCCTCCGCAGTGAAGGTAGTAGTGAAAGCATCTGTAAAAGTAATTTATGACAGCATACCCAATGTGTAGCGCAAGCTACTTATCAGTGTTCTGCTGGGCCGTTTCTGGTGTTTTTATGTACCTGGTATTCAATTTCTTAATAGTACTGTTTTGTTCTTTGCACTGTCATGCGGCGGTTTATATTCCTGTCTTCCGGTTATCAGTTTTTGACCAACGAGGAAGGGGTAAATTGAGGACCTTAAAGTTGAGGCCACTATCGAAGTACGGTCAAAGAAACCAGACGAAAATCGGCCTAATTAGGAAGTGGGTAGGTGAACGAGGGTTGTTTTTGTGACACGCCTATATGATTCAATGCTTCCAATCATTGACTGAGTCATTCATGAGGTTCCTACTAGAAAGCCTTATCAGGATTGGGCGAGCGACTCCCTTGGTCAGGGATTTATACACTACTGCCCATTCGTAACTGTAAGTGGATGTTAGTTAAGTGCATCGTTTATAGTAGTCGGACAATTCGTTCGTCACACCTCAAAATAAATGATTCAGTTTAAGGTTACTTCATGGACTGATGAGAATTTCTTACCTTGCCTGGTAACGACAAAGAACTACAATGTGGTGCTTGATCCACCTGCTGAGCAGCGTCAATTGCAACATCAGATGATCACACAACAACCACTTTCGACAGCAGTCTATTAATCTAGGAGATTGTTTTGTTCTGTATGCAATTCTAATGGTCATCAGCACGTGCACTTCATGTACACAAGAGTTCACCGATTGCCCTCACAGGTTCTCCGTTCTGCGTTAACGACCGACCGAAAGTTCACACCTGCCAGTTTTTCTCGCGTTGTCCAACAAGATCACTTTCTCTCTCAGCTGCGCATATAAACCACAAATGAGGGACCATGGGACTATGTTTATGCATGTTTAACCATTGATTGCTGCCGACTGCTTTTGAAATTAAGTGCGGTTGGTTCGCTAGTTCGGTTTTTTACGAACTTAAAAGACATATGTTGTCATAGTTTGATCGTTTTTATTATCGTAGGTCACATGAGCCCGCCTAATCAAGGTCTCCATGTTTCAGCCAAAAATTTCGTTTTCTTCTGTGAGTGGTCAGTGAACGCATTCGTAAGATGATTCCTTCTGTTCGGATCACAGCATGGCAATCACCGAGGGATGTCTGATCCTCAATAAAAGTTCTGATGGAAAAACGAAGATATATATCGCTTCGTTACGAACCTTCGCACTACACTTGATTGAGGGCCTTTGAAATAACTGGGCTCACTAGACGCGATTAATCGTGATCGTTTGTCGCATAGGGCAACGTATGTAAAAAATATGCTGATAGATCTCTGGCATGGAATGACTTATCAGTGATTTGCTTGTCGATCTATTTTTCGCAAAGATTTCCATTATTATTTGGGGTTATCTAAATAGAAATGGTATTTATTAAACATTGGGGTAATTTTTAAATGACTACTAAGCGTCTGCGGCGAGCACGTGAAGGTCTGGTTTCGGAGTTGTGCAAACGCTCGAAAAACGTTCCGCCTAAACGTTTTTGTGATAGATCGAATTGTAGGGGAAAAATAAATAGATTCTAGTAGTACCCAGAAAACAAACTGGGATGTGTGCGTGTGTGTATGGTGGTCGTGGGGGCTAGAAACTCTTTTTCATCCAGCAGGATCGTAGTCCCCTTGAACCCTCTCCAAAGAAGGGTGGGCTTGGTGAGAATCTAGAATGGATAGATTGAATGAGTAGGCAACGTGACTGTCGTTCATTGTGTTAAGAAGACCAAAGGGATTAATGATCTGTACCATTTCAATATATAAAGTTCACTTTGATCCGAAATCAATCAGATCGTCATGATGCGCATTGCGTGCTATATTTTTTTCAACACAATCCTCAAACCCAGCGTGTATCTTTTTTAATGATTTGACACTGTTTTTGAGGGTGAAACTTATTTTATACCCAAAAGGATTGTTTCCGATTTTGAGTACCAGACATCTGCTCAGGTGCACGTCGAAATCTCCAGCGGTGTTCATGTACATACTGCAATCATTCTCCGTAATGCCCTTAACTGCCTTAGTCCAGAGGCGAATTGCCTGTTCTGCTGAGAAAGCAATAGCGAATGCTGACATCTATTTGTCAATGGGAGAGCGAGAAAAACTCATGAACTGAGTACTAATGTTTATTGATGTCAGAACAAAAAGGGGATAGCTGTGTTAATGGATCAATGTTTGAACTCGGCCTAAATTATGTAATCGGGGTCTTTTGTTATGAATGTGGATAGTACTTTCATTTGAAAACAAAGCAGCAGCGAGAGATCAAACTGGTTGTTATGGTCAGCCTTTCATTAATAGTAAAAGCCGTGTGATCATATTTTTGCTTAGAAAGCAAGGTCTGCATTTCGGATAACATGTTTGCCGAGGCAAATTGCCCGAAAACTGAAGATTGGCGGGTAGTATTGCCGCGAGTGAAAACCAGAACAGTCTACCCCATTCGGTTCGTGGAATCGGTTTGCTTTCATTTATCTTCGCTTGATATTCACGCGGCTACTTAAACAATTTAATGTCAGTTATCTTTCCATCTTATCTACTCATCCTAATCACATCATAGGCTTATACGTCGAAAGTGGATTTTTTTCGCTCACAAGTTACTGCTGTTCTGAATGACCAGAGAATTCAGCCTTGATTTGCTCCGATGGTTTTCGGTTCTGTCCGTTTCTTTTGATTTAGGTGTGACCGGTTTGAGCGAAGAAATGTTGATCCCATTCTTATTGGCTGTTCGGCTTGGTGTCGACCCGTCCCTCCTGCCGTCAAGTGCTCCAGGTGGTACTTCACAGTCTCATGGTCGATCGGCCACTGGTGATCCCATGCTGCTGACGATGATTCTCGGTTCGCATACTACAGATGGTTCCTCGGTCGTTAGCGATCCGGAGGCCTCAAGTGCGCCAAATAAGCGCAGTATGAGTCCCGAATGTAACTTACAAACAACGCTTTCTTCACCAAAGTTAGTTTTCATCTGGTTCCCTTGTTGTCGTTCCTTTTAGAAGATATACTTCACACTTCATCCGACAATTGCTTTTCGTTGTTTCATAACCTAAGCCATGTTATACTTGGTCCGCTCATCTTTAATGTCTTTTTGGAGTTCCTCCGCGAGCACCTAGTACCTAAGGCTTATCGTAAAGGAAATTGTTTTATTTTTCGATCTCGGATATTCTGATTGACTGTCAAACAAATGTCATTATGAATTTTATACTCACTTATTTGATTGGTGTCGCAGTCACAGTATAGTGACTCAGCACCGGTTTGCCTAATTTTGTGAATTATCAAGCTACTGGGGGTGATTATTACAAGCCAAACATCCAGTTATTCGATAATTAGTCAAAAGCTGTAGCTCGTCGCATCCTTGTTTATGTACTTGCTTTAGTCTATCAATAAGAAACAAAGGTAACTGCGGTTCACACTCATTTTTGAAATTTACGCAATCAAGGTTCTCTTCTGAAAACCAGGGGATTGTTCCTTCCTCGGTTACCTATTGTCTAACTCCGATCGGACCGTCTGTGGAGCACATGCAGCGCCTTTCATTTTCCATGTTGGTTGACGTACGGTGAAACGGTAGTACTATGCCAACATCCACCGACTGGTCGTTTTACTGTAATCGCATCGATGCTGTTGATTAGCCGAGACAGCATGAACTACTAAGCGCTGATACAGTTGGGGACAATCGCATTCGAGAGTTAGAGACATAAAAAGATAGATTTACGAATCACACTCACGGTATTTGTCGTCTTGCTGGTTAACCTCTAGTGCTATCGCAGTCACCAGCTTGTTGTTTGACATCTAAACACACCCGTTTGACTCAAAATCCATTTTTATGTCATGCACCCATTGTGACCCGAATTCCATTGCTTATGGGTCGGCTTCGTTGTTCGTTTCCATGCGGATAGACGAACTTATAGAACCGTCGCCCGTGCGCTATTCTGTTTGTACGGTACTCTATGGTTACCACTTTGCCTTTCCGGTAAACAGTTCCGATAGCAACTGCAACAGTTTCGCTTCTTTCTGTACTACTTTTTCGTCTCATTTTACTCACTAGTCCGTCCTTGCAATTTAGTGCTAGTCGACCAACAAATGCAATTCAATTAGCAATGAACTTTGGGGTTGTGATTATGTTTTGAATCCGCGAAATCAATGTCTCTTTCGAACGACAAATTTCTTTCTGATCGTGGTGACCTCGACTGGTTGCATTCACATTTATGCTAGTCATTTGCAGAGCTTTGCATAGTACATTTGTTTTATCTGAACTCGAGTTACAATCAACTTCTATCAAGGTTCGCTTCATTTGAATATATCTAACTGTTAGTGTGTCAAATCGACAGGCTTATTCTTATCGTTATTTCAAGAATAGTTCATAATAGGGTCGAAATATTTACTGTCAGTATCATCCCCTAAATTCAGCATATGTCTCACTTGATACTCGTTGCTCGTCGCTGATCAGATATAATTGAGGATCAGTCTGTTACTTATCTTTGGACATTGTCAATCGTCTGTCTGTCTGTCTGATTGACTGTTATCTATTCACTCATCCGTGTTTCTTGTTGCACTGTTCTCCTCAACTCATTGGTCGCCAAATGCATGATCTTTAATTTAATGTAAGATTAATAATTTAATATGTAATAATAATGTAAGATTAATAAAAAATCGGTTATTGCAAGGGGTTCTAACTTATTTAAACCTTTTTCTGCCCGTTTCTTACACACGACCATTTGCATTCGGCAGTGCGTCTTTCCGTTCCAGAAGGTTCCACAGGTATTGTTCATTGCTGCTCAGCCTAGAGCAGCGGTCTCCGCTTTGTGTGTTTTCGTGCGTCCTGAAAAGCACCTATACATAGGAAACCTGGACAGTGTTCTCGTTTTGAAAATTCGCTCGTTATCGCTTTACATTCACTGTTTTCAGGTTCTGTTTTTTGCCATTCATCGCCCCAATCCCATCGCATGCATTGTTTGTATTTCGTTCATCATGTTTGTTCCATAAGTTTTCTGCGCACGTTTGAAGCTCGCAGTTCCAAAAGTCAGCATTTGATTCGCCTATCGCAACGTTGAAAATGATGTCATTATTTGAATGGTGAAGCCAAAAACGCAGGTACAAATGCAACGAAATGATCCAGGATACATTGTGCAAATCTGTTTTTGGCTTCTCTATTCAAATTCGTTACGGGAAATTGTGCTTCCAATATCATTATTGACAGTAAAGCTGTTAGAAGTCTTGTGTGTGACGCTTGTTTGCCTATCCCAATTTAACGATGCAACAAGCATGGCGGGATCAGTAATATTTAAGGTGTAGGGAGGGGTTAGTGGAACGCAAAAATGCGTCATTAGGTTGAATGGTTTCGGTATTCGACATTCAGTCAAGGAGTCGCCTAGCTGTATTGCTATGGCAACTAACTCACATGTTGGCTCCGTCTTCATCGCGAATGTCTCCCTATGCGTGATTAGTAGTAGGCATTTAATTGAACTGATTGTGTCAATTAAAGTTTCATTCAATAGTGAATCGCCCCGTTATCCTGTGGCACGATGCAGCATGTATTGATACAGACTAAAAGATAGGTAAAGCGCCACTGATATATATATATATATATATATATATATATATTCATCGTTGAGTGAAATTTTTATTCACACAGTTTTAATTCGGAATAGTATTTGGTTTGAGAAGCACTTCGTCTTTGCATTTTCCGCTACAGTCCTACAACCAGATTCATTCAAGATAGTTCTCTGTATTGTGGGGTTCGAGCTACTTTATACTGATCGTGTGGTGAGACCAGTAAGTAATTTACGTTAGTGATTCTCACTTATCGAGACAGGTGTGTTCACACATCTCTGTGCGTCTACATCAATGAGGGGATCCTAGCAATTAGACCACAGCGAATTTTTTATGCACAAGTATATATATATATATATACCGTTACAAAAGGGTTAACAATAAATACTCTAGCACCCGTAGGAAAGACTTTCCAGCGCAGTTCAGATATCACAGATTACAGTAAATGTCAAGTTTAGTATCGTTCATCTCGTAGGAGTGACCTTTGTATTTTGTTCTTTTTATCCTTGTTTTCTGATTCAATCTTGGTTACATTCGCCCTTCATTGATTCATTCCCCGATAGAACACAATATGAGTTGATTTTCTCGGCGATGTAGTGAACAGTCATGCCAAGTTTCTGTGCTGTCCTAGGTCTCGATCTCACTGATATTCAGCTTCAGTATGAATGTGTTGTCCTTAGTCGAGTTATGATGTTCACCCTTGCGTGTTCACTTGTCCTAGGTTTGCCTGTGAAATTTCTTCTGTTACATTATTTGCTCCCAGCTATTTTCGTCCTATATTCTCTTTTTTCAGACTTTTGGTTTGCTTTATCATTTTCTTTCTATAAAGAATGTATGTTCATCTTGATTAGAGGTANTAGAGGTAATCACCTAAATGCAACGAAACGGATCCGTATATGACAACCGAGAAAAAACAACGAGCAGCGTAATAGTGAGATTAGCTGTCTAAATATAGCATTCGAAAGGAATGAAGGACAACAAGAAATAGGGAGTTAGCTACACTCCGAGTGCGCTGTTCTAATTATTATGTGTGGAACGGTTTATCAGGACAACACGTCAGTGGCATACACAGTTTATTGCTGCTATTGCAGTGACAGACGCAATACTATCACGTTCCAACACAGATACACTAATCGTGAACATAAAAACGTTTCGACGATTCAGTTGTTAGAAATGGGAGTCGGTCGTTCACTTATAGCATTTTCAAGAAATACAAACCATGAACGCTGTGAACTACCACCAGTTTAACAAATCAGTTCCAGGTAGCTCGTTGGTTTTTGTC